GAGGTAAAAATTTGATTTATTACGCGTATTGTGTGTATGTATATCAATCATTCTATTCAAAATAAAGCTGTGCTTAATGAGATTATTGATAATTTTGAAAGCCGTAATGTATAATTCACGCTTACAAATATTATCGAAACTTAAATACCGTCCGGTATATAATAGGTTTGTGGGATGCATAGCCCGATAAAAATGTATTATCTTAATGGATTTCCTATGCAAGATATCCAGTCGATCCAATGCCTGTTGGCTAGCACCACTCCATATTGGATTTAGATACACCATATGTGACATTATAAACGAAGAATATATTTTATAAAGTGCATCAGCGGAAATATAAGTTCGCAATCTGCGTAGGAGAAAAAGATACGGAGATATTTTATTTATAATGTGTTGGACATGATCAGTCCACCCCAATTTCCTATCAATGACCAAACCTAAATAATTAAATTTTTCAACAGTCCCAATTTTTTCACTTCCGTAAAAGAACTGTTCCTGGCTATACATTTTGTTACCTAGCAAAAGAATTTTTGTTTTTTCAACATTTAAGCCCAACTTATGTTTGGTTATCCATACGCCTATTAAATTTAAATCGTGCTCAATATTCATCCTCAATTCAATTTCAGTTGTTGAAGAATATTTCACAACAGCATCGTCAGCATACAATTGAAGGAAGCCCTTAAGATTAAGCCGTGAAATATCATCTATATAAATCTTAAAAAGATCTGGCCCCAAGACAGAGCCTTGAGGAACCCCCTTTCTTATTTTGAGACACTCGCTTAGCACATTTCCAATTTTAACCCTTTGTGCTCTGTCAGTTAAGTAGGATTTGAAAAATTCTATATTCGGTTGGGAAAACCCAAGACTATTCATTTTTAACAGAAGGATTTCGTGGTCTACACAGTCAAATGCCTTTTGAAAGTCCAGAAATATACACGCCACATATTTACCGCTGTCAATGTTGTTGCTAATATAGTTCGTAAGACAGAGACAAGCCGCAGAGGTATTGGAATTGTTTTCAAATCCATATTGGTCCTCGTGCAATATATTGTTATTAGACAAGAACAGTTTGAGACGATTTTTTATTACAGTTTCAAATATTTTTGAAAGAGCGCTTAATATAGATATTGGACGATAATTAGATGGATTCGCTCTCGAGCCAGCCTTATGAATCGGATTTACAATAGCAACTTTAAGGCACCGTGGAAAGTGAGACCTCAATATAGCGTTATTTATCACTTCAACCAAAGGAGTTGATAATCGGGAAGAGAATTTTTTTATAAATTTGGAGGAGATGTTGTCGTGTCCCGTTGCTGCTGAAATCCTTAATTCAGAAATAATCTTTTTGACTTCGTTTTCATTTGTTAGATGTAAACCGAAATTATTATGGATAGTTCGATTAGTACTACTAATGTAAGTATGATCCACCGGGAGTGAGGAAGCATCAATTTTGTCAGTAACGTTAACGAAATATGAGTTCATGATATTCGCTATCCTCCCTTCATCGCTAACAATTTCACCATTTATCGCCAAGGACTTAATGCTTGTATTCGATTTATAGGAATCAGTATTATAAATAAGTCCTCTATAATAATCCCACAGTAGCTTGGGGCTCGTTACTTGTGCGTCGATATCTTTAGAGAAATAATTCTTTTTTGCTTGTTGGATAAGTTTACTAACTTCTAACCTCATCTTCTTATATAAACCTAGAATTCGCCCATTATCTCTGTATTTACGAGAATACTTGAAGTAAGTATCTCTCACCCTTATTTTATCTAATATCTCTTTCGTCATCCATTTCTTCGAATTTTTGCGTTTTTTGTTTTCGATAGTTTTAGTATTTTTCAGAATAAGTTCCTGTAGGTCCCTACTAAAATGGTCAAAATCACTGTATATATCTAGGCGCGACCAAAAGTTATCAGTCTCAATATTTTCATAGTCCAGAACAGTTCTAATTTCTATCTGATTTTTAATTGATGGTTTCAGCTTCATGCTAATAAGGAACATTTCATGGTCAGAAAGAGATGTATTATTGATTATAAAATTACATTCGTACCCGACCAAATCGGTAGCCAAATGATCAATTACAGTCCTGGTCGATTCAGTAATTCTCGTAGCATATTTAGGAGTACGTTTGTTATATATTAAAAACCCGTTGCAGAGTAAACTATTTGTGTATGCTTCAACTTGCACATTATTGTAGTCAAGCAAATTAATATTCATGTCACCTATAATTATTGCGTTCCTATTAATATTAGTTATATCTTGTATCTTATCAATAAAATCCTGTACACGCGTCTCATGAGAACGATAAACAGCAATGATGTTCACCCCTAAGCCAGTTAATTTAGTTATTAAGAAATGTGACTTATCATATTCTTCCTCGCTTACCAAATATGAGTCTATATTTTCACTAACATATATCGCTACACCACCATAAGGTTCACTTCTATTTGAAAAATAAGGCATATACCCCTTTATATTGAAGTATTTAGTTTCTTCCCTAGTTAGCCATATCTCAGTTAGAACGATAATGTGAATATCAAAATCATAAGAGCAAATTAGAGATTCCAAATCGTATAATTTCCTCCTAAGACTTTGAATGTTAAGATATACAATATTCAAATTCCCACCACACATAAATGAAGCTGGGTTGCATACCCCTGTGTCATGCACAACATTTCTACCGAAGAGAGTATTTATTGTATCATCAGTATGCATCGATAAAGTAAATAATAAAATTCAATTACAAGAATTTGTGTGAGAATTATTGAAAGTGAAGATGACAAAGAGACAAGAGAATTATTCAGCAAATCTGTTATCATGCAGGTATAGTAGCAATGAGCACAAGATTCTATGAATGAGTATGATAGTAATACATGCAATAAAAATTTCAGTAATAATTTTAACTTCACGCGCGCAAGACACTTAAAATACAAAGTAAATCGTAAACAGGTATTTTGAAAAAATTTAGATAATTTCCTAAAACATGTGAAATAAAAAATATTAAAGTTAAAATAGAATAATTTACAGAATAAATTTCTGAGAATTAAAGAAAAAATATTTCCAGTGTTTGTTGTTATTGTTAAATAGTAAGTTGAAAAAGAATGTAAAATATATATTGTTGAATGTTGGTAATCAGAATTGTAGTGTTTAAAATCTAAAAACTTTAAATTTATTAAGAAAAATAAGCTATTAAATGTTGAAATATTAAATATTACTTTGAAATTAATAATATTAAAAGGAAAAGTGAAATGAGAAATATTAAAAAAATTAATAATTAGTGATGGAGTAATCTTAATTAAAATTAAAATCTGCCAGAATATGTAAACACGTGTATGATTTGTACATGTATATGATATGTACTCAGGCAAAGCATAAAAAAATAAAAACAGAATGAAATGTGAAATGAAAAAAGTGTTATACGAAACTATAAAGATTTTAAAAAAAGTACTATAGAAATTACATATTGAAATCTTGTTTGATTTTTTTAATATCATTAGAATTAGAAATACTAAAAATTTTACTATTCTTATTTTGCCGCAAAAAAATTGTATTGTTTTTGAACCATAAGTACTCCATTTTTTTGAATAATTTAATTGATTTCGCCTCAAAGTAAAGCTTACTTTGGAACGAAGATAAGTGTTGCCGAAAAAATATTTCATTTTTTTTACCTTCACCATCCATGTTGAAATCTGCAGCGAGCAAAGGTACAAAGCTTTTTTTTTTGGATAAAATGTCATTTTTTGCTTCCTCAGATTTGAATTTGACAATGTATAAACAGGTCTCTGAAGAACCACCATTTTTTGTTTTTTTTTCCAATGGTGTTACGGCAAATGAATTTTCATTTGGAATATCAGCATTTATTTTTTTGAATATGTTGTAAAGATGCATGTTTTTCAATCCAGATGGTAAACCAGCAACTACGATGTTGTTTTTTCTTTTCAGTTGGTTTGTTTCATCCAAAGTTGCCTCCATTCTGTTTAGTTTATATTCCAATGCACTTGTATGATTTTCCAGATGACCAATTTTAAGACACAATTTTTCATTTTCTTTCTTAATTTCACAGTTATCCTTTAGAGCTGCATCCAATTTCTGATTTAAGAACGTCAAAGAAAAGTTCATTTCCGATACAGCACGTCCCAAGGTTTTCAAGTAATCTATTGTAATCTTACCCATAGTGCTGTTTGTAAAATCGAACGTCCTTAATTCATTTACAGCATCCTCGCATATAACTAGTGGAGTTTGTTCGTCTATATCCTCAAGTTGTGGAAGTGAATTATTTAATTCTGGCGGGCAGATGGAGCATTTCCAAACAATATTTCCAGACTTCACCAGTTCATATGTATCGTCAGAAATATTTGCACACTTTATGTGAAATAATTTCTGGCAAATTTTACATTTTAAAGCCTTAGATTTGGCGGACATGTATTTGTTACATTTTTTACAATTCGCCATTTTTGTTTTTTAAATTATATTGCTAATTTTTAATATTAAGTTTTTTTTTTTTTTTTTCCTTTCTTTTCTCTTTTTTTTCTAAAATTTTAATATTTAAATTGATAATGAGTGTTTTAAGAATTTTTCTTTCTTTTTTATTTTTTCTAAAATTTTAATATTTAAATTAATAATGAGTGGAGAAAGAGAAAAAAAAAAACACGTCTTATCCACTTGACAGCAAAAGTTAAAATCTTCCTAATTCTACTGAAATCAATAAAATATTAATTACACAAATTAGTTTGCATAGAACTTTATTTAATAAATATTTTTCCGAATCCTATTTTCAGGCCTTGCAGTCTTACAGGGCGGATTTCTATAAAATCTCCTGGAACGCAAGTTGTTGATCTCGCTGAAATTTTTCCAACAATACTCTGATCTGACCAGATTTACCTACTTTGAATTTTAGTATAAAAACGTTTAAAATTGCTCTAAATTTTTCAAAAAATTTTAATTTAGAAACCGTCGCAGGATTTTTTATTATAACTTCCCAAAATTTCATGGTTATGAAATTAATAGTGTACCGTTACACTACTAAAGAACGTAAGGTCTTAGAGACATCACGTATTCATTTGCATATAAAGATAAGCATTTAATTGGATTTGCTAAAAAACGTTCCTTTTACAAAATTCATTAAAAAAACCCTTTTATCTAAATGTAAGTATATAAATCTCAAAATAGTTTGAATTTTTAATTGCCCATGGCAATTACTAAAATTTACTTTCCTATATCTCTTATAAAATTATTAAATGAAACATAATATTTTTAATTATCTAATAATTTTATTCTCCCTCTCGGAAACTCATAAAATTTTATTTTACTCTTCAATTCCCATAGAAAATAAAAACTTAATCCCAAGTTAATTAATGTGAACTAATAGCAGGTAATTTCAAAAATTTTTCAATACAGTAGTAATACAATCATTATTAACCAGTGGTGGTTCGTCTAACGCTTTTAATTTTGAAAAACAAAATATTCTGTTCCTACGTACAATACAATGAGTCACTTAATATATTGGCTTATGATTGAACGCTGTCAACAGTTTACTTTTAATACTTTGTGTCATTTTATTGCTGTCTGTTTTTTAATACATGTTTTTTTATTATTTATAATTTGTAATTTTAAAAATTGTAAAATACTGTTTACATATAGGACAAAATTTAAGAATAAATCTGTAATAAGTTTGGTGACTGTTCACAAACTATCAGAATGAAATTATAAGATGAAGCTCAGAACGCCAAAACTCAACAATTTGTTACAAAAGTTATAAACAAAATAAAAATTAGCTGATCGCTATTAGCAAAAAATTACTTGCCGTCATTGAACTTTTTAAAAATCTGAAGAGAATTTCTTATTTGCCGCCTATTTTCTATTATTTCTATTATTACAAAATAGAATCCTATTTTGTATCCATATCCTATTTTTAAAAAAATATCAGTAAAATAAAACAATAAATATCAATAACCTTAAATATCTAGCACCTACTATGGTTCTACGATATCATGCACCAGTCCCATGATTCTCCAAAGAGCAAAACAGAAAAAAAAATTATTTGCCTTCCAGCGAAGTGTCATATCAAATGGCGTTTACAAATATGATTTTCATCAGTTTCAGGTTAAATCTTAGGTTTTGTCGTAAATGTGAACCGTACCTAAGATCTTATTTGCAATATCAATAAAATATTGTTTTCCGTTCTCTCTCCCCAACCGGAAAAACTTCACATTGTCAAAAATAGGTTCCATTTTATTTTATTATTTCTTTGTATTACAATTATAATTACTCTCTTTTCATAATACTATAGAGAGAATACGTTACACTAAAATATTTGAAGAATCAACACTGTTGCATATTAAAAATTTTTGTTTCATTATATTAATTAAATTTTATTTTCTATTTACACACAAATAGGCACAGGCATTTACAAATAAATTTATATATATATATATGTCTCTCTTAATGCTAAACATAGATCAGGTTCCAGACACAAAACTTTTGTAATATTTTATTACGATTATTTAAAAATATCACTGCCGTAAATATTATGAAGTCTTGTAGTATTATAGAGCCAGAACTCCTTATTTCCGCTTAATTATTATTTTTATAGTTTATAGCATTCTTTTAAATGAATTTTTTTTTTAATAATAAAGAACGCTTTCTCTTACTTTTTGTTATTAAAGTTTACTATTGTTGACTTACAATTAATTAACAGGGGAAATATTATCTTTTTTATTTACCTTACTTAACTACAATATTAATTATATTTGTGCGCATACATACATACATGTATTTATTTACACTTGTATCACATTATATTCTGTACATATAGTTTGGAACTTATACGTACTATACAGCCTGTTGCTTTGAAAAAAAGGATCAATTTGCTCTACAAACAAATGTGCGAATTGTTTTATAAAGGTGGAGCATAAAATATTCTCAAATATTTAATATTTACCATTTTTGAATAAAATTTATTCAGTCATCATCTGAACATAATACTGTTAAGTTGTCTTTATATAAAAGCGTAAACTATATTACATAAAAAAAAAAGTATTTTTTTCTTATTTTATATTTAAGCGAAAAGCTATAATTCATTAATGTGTTCTATTACTCAAAATGTTGATAAGAAATGGTCGAAATTTAAAATATCAATTCATCTATTATCAACAATACGACCACTACTTACAATGACATTCTTTCTTGGTTTGACACCAATACAAGATGTGAAAATTAATGATAATCCAACAATTCGTAGAATAAGATTATGCCCAATTGGAATTTTAAATGCCATCGTTGTAATAGCCATCTATGTACTAGTCTATTCCATCTCAATGTATAATAATGAATCATTTGTAAAATATTTTTTTCGATCTAAAGTTTCAATGATTGGTGATGCATTACAAACAGTTACTGGATTTATTGGAATCGCATTAATTTATATTTCATCGATAGCTCAGCAAAGTAAATTAGTTAAAACCCTATATATAATATCGGATGCTGAAGATCGTCTACAAGAATTAGGAATTAGAGTGTTACATAAAAGAACACGTTCATATTTTTATTCTATATTTTCAATTGTACATTTAATAAGTACGGGTTATGTCATTGGAAGTTTTTTTCTAGCAAAAAATTTTATGAATGGAAAAAATCCAGCAGCATACATTATGGTTGGATTCTTTTTGCAATACACTATCGTTTCATCATCAATTGTGTCATTTCTATGTAAAGCAAACATAATTAAAAGAAGATTTGGTTTTTTAAATGATGTAAGCAAAAAATTATTAGTATAAAATATATTTAAATCTTAATTTAATTTGCCAAAACTTTTCAACTAATTTTTAAGTTATTTATTAAAATCTAAAATTGCAGTTCTCTAAAACCATAACTATGAGCTTCTATGAATTTTTTAAACAAAGTACTCATTCATATTTAATACCACATGTCAGTCACTTAAATTGCTTTAGAAATTCTATAGAAATTTAAAGGTTTTTTTGTTTTCAAATTTCTTAGACCTTGAAAATTAATTGCAAAATAACAAGCATTAATATTAAAACGCTATATGCATTAAATTTTTCTTTATAAAATGGTGTGTTTCCAAACAATTTTCCGATTTGTTGCACGGGATTTTATGAAAAAAGTTCAAGTTTATTTGTAAAAAAAAATTTTAATAGTTTTTAAAAATGATAACTATATGGAGAGATTCTGGAAAAATCAAAGATATTTATTCATCTTTTCAACCACTCCTTTATATATCATTGATTTTGGGTTTAACACCAATATTTTTGGATCGGAAAACAGGAAAACGTTTTTTAAAAATAACATGGTTCGGGAAAATCACTTTAATTTTTCATATAGTAATTATATTGGTCACATTTATTTTAACAACACTGAAGAATGAAACAATTATTGGATATTTTTTCAAATCCAATGTATCGAAATTTGGTGAAATGATACAAAAATATGTTGCAATCATTAGTTTATTAGCAATTTTTTTAAATTCTTATTTTAAAAAATATTCTCTTATTCAATTAATTTACAAGCTGTCAAAAGTTGATATAAGATTAACTAGTTTACGAGTTCAAATTCATTACGATAATACAGTAAAATTTAATTATATTTCATTAGCAATACAATTAATCCTAAATCTTAGTTTTCTTATCGGAAGCTTAATAATATTGCATTGTATTGAAAAATATCCTACAGTTGATATTTATTACGCATTTTTTGCTCCACATATTTTTATTTCGACAATTGTTATTACTTTTTTAAGCGTAACATTAACAATATGTAAACGGTTTGAAATATCAAATAAGGTAAGGAATAAAATTATTTTTGCATTAGGAAACCTTAAACAATTGAATGAATTTTAAGTTTAAATACGATTTAAGTGACACCTATTTGTAATTTTGCGTAAATATTTCTCAAATATAAAAAATATATTTTTATTATGTTGTAGATATTGAAAAATATGTCACTTAAAATCAAGAGAAATGAAATTGGATCAACAATAGTCGAAAATAAAAAAAAATTAAATTGCTTAAAATCGTTTTCGTTGCATACTATAACAACAAAATTACCGAACGAAATCATTCAAGAATCAATGGAGGTGAGTTTTTTGTTAAATTTGTTGAGGTATTTGATCAAATTTGGTTTACTTAGAATTCCATTCATTTAAAAACTCATTTTTAACTTCTTACTTTAAATGAACTAAATAAAAATAAACGTACTTAACCTACGGTGTACTTATACTTTTACCATACTTTCAACAATATTAGAACAAAATTTTATAATATGACTGGAACTATAATTCAGGTCCAAATTATCATGGGAAATTTCTTTATCATAGAAAGTAGTTGATTTACACTTGTATTCCAATGTATACAAGTATAAAATTTATACATTGGCATATAAGACAAACGTCTTACAATGTTCTAAGTTGTAACATATTTTTAGTCGAATTTTTATTTCTAAGGTATTAGATTAAATTAAACTTTTAGTGAATGAAGCAACAACTTTTATTTTACCCCTACATTGTTCAACTCGCGTCCATACAAATTTTTAATTTCCAACTTCTAACTATAATTTCAACATTTTAATATAGTGTTTAAGTATTCAAATAAAAATGTTAGTATTGAACAAAGTGCTTATAAACATTATTTCAGATTCTCTGTGATTTTGTATTTCATGATTTCTTTGTAGTTTTGCATTTCATTTGATATACAAGTTCGACAATTTCAAATTTTCATTGATCAAATATCAAAGATTTTCTAAAATATATTCAAATTAAATATTCGAAGTGATCCTGGAAAATAAAATTATTTATACGACAACATTATCCTATTTCAGGTTCATTTTTTATTATGTGAGGCAGCGAATACAGCAAACAAATATTTCACTTACCAATTATTAACAATACTTTCAATATCATTTCTTATTATTGTTTTTGATGCGTATTATATCCTTGAAACATGTCTAGGAAGAACTGAACGGGATCAAAATTTTAAACCGGTTGAATTTGTTACATTTTTTATATGTCAAATGGGTTTATATATAATAGCAATATTTGCAATTGTTGAAGGCAGTGTAAAGGCAGTTGACAAAGTTAGTATATGACGTTCTAAAAGTATAATTAATATAAATTATTCTTTATCAAACATAATATATAAAATTATATTGTTGATTGTTTTAGAGTGAGAAAACTAGTGGTATTATACATACATTATTAAATCAAGCATCTGATTCAGATACGAGAGAAAAATTACAAAATTTTTCCTTACAACTTATTCATCAAAGAGTGAAATTTACGGCAGCTGGTCTCTTTAATATTGATAGAACTTTATATTTTACGGTATGAACAGTATATTTTATATTATACTTAAATTTTGAATTTAGAAATTCCTATTTTACTTTTAGATAACAGGCGCCATAACAACTTATTTAATCATTTTGCTACAATTTTCATCGTAAAATTTGTTGTGTTAATTTATTTGCTATCGCATATGCACATATATATAAAACTATGTGGAAAGCAACAATGAGCTTCTAAAATTGTACCTGCTATCAAATCTTTCCAGAAATTGCTGCATTATGCGTAAGATTATTTATTAGTACGTTGTTTTATGTAAGGATAGTTACGTGAAATATGTGTATAAAAATAGAACATAAAAAAATTGTTTAAATAAAATTACTTGCATCAATAAAAGATATATTTCATGAAAAATAAATTTAATATTTGCATTATATGGAGAAACTTAAATGTAATATGTGGCCATATGTAAACATAGCATACTTTTAGGGTAAATTTTCAAACTTTAAAATTTAAAACTTATACAGCTATGTTAAGTTGAGAAATGAAACATAAAAAAACGAGGGTAACTTCGGAATTGCTACGACCCATCAGACACATTGTACTCGTATCACTGAAACATCTTCTGAAATATTAACAAAAATATTTGGCGATGTGTTCTGTTCACAATTTATGTGATGTTGTTTCTGCGACGTTGTTAACACTGAAATATTTGTCAAATTGTGTTCTCAATTCTTAATTGATGAAAATAAATTAAAACAAAAAAATTTCTTATTAAAGTAAACAATGGAATTAAATAATTCAATGCATAAAGGTTCTTAAGTCTTCAAATATAGAAGTAAAGTCATATATATCTATATACATATATATATATATATACAATTTATTTTAAAATAGCAGCTATTGTTAATAAAATAATGATAAAATATTATTAAACAATATAATTCTCATAAAACTTCTTATACAATTTTAGCCTTTGTAGAAAATTAGACCTTTGTAGTTATTGTACGTTGAATGAAATTGCTTTAGGTTGTTATGAAGAAAATATTTTAATGAAAACATACAAAACCTTTTCTTGCTATACCACATTTTTAAAGTGTGGCACCGGTTATTGAAGACATTTAAGATCTAGCGAATCTTACTTGTAAGCAACAACCTGAAATAAAAATTACCGATATTATTAAACTTAGATTATTTTAAAAACTACAACTTTACATTCGGTCGTGGTTCCGAATTACTTACAAAATCAAACAATTTTTGGTAATCAGGAATTTTTAGTTTATAAAGCCCTGGAAAATTTTTACATTTTGAGGTCATGATATGAGAGTTCAGCGAATGATATGAAAATTTTATCAATATTGGAAAGTATTCAATTGTATACAGAGTTTAAAATTTTCTCTTATTCAGAGTTTATAACAGCCAAAATTGCTGTCATATTCAGTAAGTAAGTAAAAGATTATTTATAAAAGTTTATAATTGCTAATTTTATTGAAATATAAATAAATTAAAATAGATAATTCTAAATTGGTAAATATGCTTTTGATAAAAATCTGACATACGTACGTTCTGTTTGAATTTTGGCTATACAATCAATTTCAATTATTGAAGACTGACGACATCAAATTTTTGGAAATCTATTTTTATATAATATGTAAGTAAATTTATTTTCTTGAATTGAATTGTCTAAAATTATCTAATTTTAATATAAAAAACAAAATTTGTTATTTGTATAACAACAACAATTTCTTCACTTAGGGTTTCAATTCCATACTGCTCTAGAAATGTTTTTGCAAATTTGCGCATTAAAATAATTTTTATATTCACCACGATTTCAATATACCGCCAAAATAAATATGATTTTTGTTTTGAATGCAATCCTTATTTACGTACTAACACATTTTCATGTACACGTATGTATATAGAGATCATTTTTTTCTTCATTTACTAATGCCTACCAACACATAGGCATGGATAAATCTTCATTTATAACAAAATCTTTCAAATATGTACATATGTAGTAGAAATTTCTGTTATTTTCAAGCAACTTCCCCTATTATTATGATTTTTTCCAAATATTTGTATTTAGTGACAAACAATGACCGTTACAGCACCTGCGTTTACAAAAATTTATTTTAGATATTCATCAACTCTTAAATCATAATGAATTTTTTTAAAAATTTACGGAACGCTAACAATATACATGAATCTATAAGACCTGCCGTATGGGTCTCGTTTTTAATGGGTATTGAACCATTTATACCAGGATATAAAAAACATTTATTAAATGTATTTGGTTTATTTATAACACTCATGGAAATCATCTCCTATGGAATTTATGTTTTACTTTCTTTGAGAAGAGGTGAATGGCTTGTTCAGTATTTTGTGCAAACGAAAATCACAAAATTAAGCACATTCTTACATCCGATTACTAGTGTTATAATTGTTTATATAACATGCTTAATTATAATTCTTAAAAGAAAATCTACTGTACATTTAATCCATCGCTTGAGATTTGTAGACAATAATTTAACATCTTTGGGAATAAAAATAGACCATCGAAAAACACTTAAATATGTTTGGATTATTATGATTTTGATATTATTATTCAACACAATATACTTTTCGGGTTGCTATGCTCTGCTGACAAAATCTGATAATCAACCATCATTTGAAGTAATTGTATCATATTTAGTACCACATATACAAATGGCTATGTTAATACAAAAATTTGAAGTAAAATTGCATTTAATTTTACATCGCATGGTTGCATTGAATAGGGTAAGTTGAAAAAAATTAATTTGTAGTGATATTATATAAATAATTTAATTTGTAAATAATTTGAATAATAAGAAAAAATTAAAACGGGTAACAGCAACAGGTGTAATAATAGATTACAAAAATTAATTACAATAATCAATAAATATGGTTTCTATTAAAATATTTAGAAGAATTCATTATAGCGTATAACAAAAATTTCAATATCAATTCTAATAAGTATTTGAGCATTATTCATTGTGATATCTAAAATTTGTTTATTAAGTTAGATTTTTATCAATAATCAATAATATAATAATCTAATTACAGTGATTTTATTTCTTATGATAAGCATTTATAGAAATGTATTTTACACTATGATTCTAACTCAATATGTTAACAGAGAATGAAACTACGTACTTAACTTAGTGAATCAATTTTAATAATTTCATCACAAAGTTTAATTATAAATATTCACTACAAATAAACTTCCATTAGAAAAATTTTTAATTCTTAAGATGTAAATTTCGGCTTATGCAATTTAGATTTTTATTAGAAACCAAGTCCAATTGAATTTTATTTTAAAAATCCAATTGAATTGAGTTTTGGCACATATGTCTACTTATTGTAAATTGCACTTACGAGGATATCTGTGATCTAAAGCTATCACGTGAATTTGATTTCGAATATAAATGTATTTTTAAACGACGGAAAGTATACGCGTAACTTTCTTTAAACATTTTCATTAAATAAAGAGTAAAAGTGTATTCTTTTATTTAAGTGTCCTTTAAAATTTGTGTTTAACTCCCCTTAGTTTCACACCTTGAAATCTAATAAAGAAAATTTCCGATTATTATCAATGATTTATATTGAAAGCACATTAAATAAATTAAATATGAGCTAAGAAGACTGTTTTAGTAAAAAGTTTATGTTTCATTTACAAAATGCTTCAGTTATATTGAATAAATTAATTAAAACGGACAGCATTTATTTAACTTTTATTTTACTATTAAAATGATTTCGCAAAAATTAAAATCTAAAGGATTTCAAGAATTGATTTTTTCAATAAAACCGATTTTAATATTTTTATTTTTGTCCGGTCACAGTACAATTCAACTGAAACATAATAATTCTTTGGAAAGAGTGCGCGGACATATAATTATAATTATTCAATTCTTAATTTACGTGATGTGTTTTCTATTTAAGGAACTTAACAATAAAGTATTGTTGAAGAATTTTTTATCGAAAACAGATGCCACTCCGTAAATAAATTTTATTTTTAATATTTAAAATCCTATTTATATATATATGCAATATAAATTTTTATTAAAGGTTTGTTGAAATTATTTGCACACTTTGTGGAATTTTAGCAATGCTAACAATTTTCACCCTAATATTAAATGGATCTACGCTACTAAGTAATATTTTAAATATCACAGAAATTGTCGATTATCATTTAAAGTCCATTGGATTTCCCGTGATTTATACTAAAATTCGAAAATCTTTTATGATCATTTCATTCATTTATATTGTCATAATATTAGCATATTCATCTGTATCGTATTTAACATCGTGTATTGAAGCAAATATTTTCCACAATTTGGTTTTCGTCACATTTTTAATACCAAATTTACACATGGTTATTTTAATGTTTAAATTTCATTTTATAATGGAAATAATATTTTGTAGATTCACAATATTCAATAAGGTAAGTGTAACAATTGGTACCGAATTAAAAATTACTATAAGTAATTGAATGTAGTGTAATTGAATAATTAATTTAAAATCTTTTATTTCACTCTTTCTTATTACATCGCAACCATAAAGTTCTTTGCAATTTTTAAAATTAAAAATTTATAATTTCTGTTTTACCAAAACATCATATAGGTCATTCAATTTATCAGAAGGCGTATTTAATAACACATTTATAAACCCACAAATTACACTAGTATCCGAACTACTGATCAGAATCGAATTCTAACTCCGTCTACTACGTTCGTGTGTTATTGAAGAGTTAACGTAATTTCATAACGAAAAGAGCTTATGACTAATACAAATTTATCATATCTAAAGATCCTAATTATCTAAATATTCATTAAATATTCATTAGGAAAAAACGATATTTCCTAAATATTCATTAGGAAAAAACGATACTTGCAGATTTTCCAGTAAATCCTTAAAAACATGTACACATTTATGATCAACAGCTTTTGAATCGTGACATGTTTAAAAAAGTACCATGACACCTCAGTTTCCGAGAAAGATTTTGATTTATACTAGACTGACCATTTAAATTACTTTCTTGGTAATTATACCCTACACCTAATTGAAAGCCAATATGGCATTTCCTGTAAAGGAATTATTTTCACAAGTCATTTAAAAATACTTTCAATTGTGCTAAAACCAAAAAGAACTTAGCAATTCTACATTTCAAAAATTTTTTTTGTTATCGTTATTTTCTACTTAATATTAGATTATACCAGAATATATTAGAATATATAGCTCCTTGAGTTATTGATTTCATGAATTGCATCTTCCATATTTGTAGAAATTTTATTAAATTATTATTTAATCAAAATTATTTGGTTGCTATACCTCAAAAACTCAAACATTTTCAAATAAATATCTTAAAAAGGGAGGGCATAAGTAAATCTCACCTTTGAAAGTGAAATTTCAAATATATGTAGTCATACTTTGCACATAGCGTACTGCACAACGCTTATAATATAGATTCATTTTTAAATTACGCACAAAATTTTAAATAATCTCAAAATGGTTTTCCTACTTTTTTAATTTCCGTATATTTTACACATAATTGGAAAAAATGCGCTTATTTGTTTCAAACATTCCGTCTCTCCCACCACAGGTCTGTTTAAATTATTAAACTTTTAAATATTAAGAATTGAAATTTTAAAGGGTTCTTTGCGAAAATCTTTCCCTTAATGAAAATGTTCATCTATCTACCCTATCCAAATCTTAAAGTTATGGATCCTAAGACGCAAAAAATTTTTAAAAATCAATTTTGTTCAAAGTTTCTTCTCTCCCAGGAAAATTATAGTAAAATTTTAATTTTCGGCATTTGATTTTTCCAAAAGCAAAAAGTGTATTTATTTTATTCTCACAATTAACGCTCGATATAAACCAACATATTAATGATTTTATTTTTTCTCCACCCCAAAAGTATGCAATAATATAATTTTGTTATATTAGCGAGAACTTTTGTACTATTATTTATAAGTAGAAGATTTTTTCAAACAAAACATTTTCATTTGTTCAAGTCAAATGTGCTGCTTTACAAACCATTTATTGAGCAGAATTTCAACTTTTTCACGTTTTCAGAATCTATATTTACATTTTAATATGGATTGAATGATGATCTAAATTTAAAATACGATGTTTTCCGCTTATATAAATATTATGAATTTGTTAGTTTAACCTTGTTCATAGTTCTTATGCGAATATTTTTTATACAACTATTTTTGGGAGCTTGCGCATTAAGTCGTTTTGCTACCTATCCACCATAGCTCTAATTTGGCGCCAAAATTTTCACCTACCCCACACATTGCCTCATTTGTTTTTACAATTGCAATTTTTTGCATTCCAATATGTCCACATGTAAATTTCCTTTTCCATTCATAAATTAATATAACTCTAATTTATATAAACATTTACAAACATATAATAGCATACACACTCGCATATATTAAAATTTTTATATGTATATTAGAAAATTTTTTATACATGATTTTGTAAGTCTCTAAATTATACATGATTAACTGTCTCTAATTTTCGAAATAGAATTAGTGATAAATTTTTGTATTTAACGATAAAGAGTAACTGCTAGATATATGTATGTAAGTAACATTATACTACCTGCGTTTAAAGAAAAAATATTTTAGTTGTTCATTTGCTCTTAAATCATAATGGATATTTTAAAAAATTTACGGAAAGCCAACAATATACATGAATCAGTAAGACCATTCGTATGGGCTTCGTTTTTCATGGGTATTGAACCATACGTACCTGAATATCGAAATTTTTTAATAAATGTATTTGGTCTAATTATAACCATTGCGCAAATGATTTTTTGTGGAATTTTCATTTTATTTTGTTTAAAGAGAGATGATTGGCTTCTTCAGTACTTTTTGCAAACGAAAATCACAAAGTTTAGTACATTTTTGCATCCGATTACTAGTGTTATAATTGTTTATATAACATGTTTGATTATAATTCTTAAAAAAAAATCTACTGTATATTTAATCCATCGCTTGAGACTAGTAGACAATGATTTAACATCTTTGGGAATAAAGATTGACCATCGAAAAGTTCTTAAATATGTTTGGATTATTATGATTTTTATATTGTTGTTCACCTCAACTTATTTTTGGGGTTGTTATGCACTACTATCAAAATCCAGTAATCAACCATCATTTGAAGTAATTGCATCATATATGGGGCCGCACCTGCAAATGTTTGTGTTAATACAAAAATTTCAAATAAAATTAAATTTAATTTTACATCGGATGATTGCATTGAATAAGGTAAATTGAAAAATTTTAAGTTAAAATTTAATAAAGCTGAAAATAGCTTAAGTTCCAAATATTTGGAATTTTAAGAAAAAATAAAGTGTTCAACTGATATTACTCCTGCCTGATATACAAAATTTATGGAAAAAATTCGTTATAGTGCACAATAAAAATTTTAATATCAATGCTCTTAAATATAGGCATTATTTATCATACAAACTAAATAATTATTGTGGTATCTAAAATTAATTTATCTAATAAGCTTTTTATCAATAATATAATCTAATTACAACGAGTCTATATTTGCTTATAATGAATATTTATAGATACGTAATTGAAACTATATAATTTTAATATTTTTAATAGGCTAAACTAGAAAAAATACTCAATTTGTTAAAACAATGTCCTTAATTTCATTTCAATTTAAACATGAAGTTAAACTAAATATAAACGTTCATTACAGACAAATCAGAAATAATTATAGTTATCGTAATCACC